AACCTGGATGATTGAGAATCTTCTTATAGTCACTATTTTTCATTTCTCACAATAATTTTAAGTCTTTCTAAAAATGCTTTTTTATTTATAATAACTTAATTCTACTATTATTTTAAGTCACTTAAACTTTAGTTATGTCATTAGCTAGCTAGGGAGTACAATCCTATATAACATGCTGTCCAGTGTGTGATTCCTGATTGGGTGGAGATCATTTTGGGGATTAAAAGTGCAATATGTGTGTGAATTCACTTTACTTGGCAAGGAATGTTGTTGAGTACAATGAAGTGGAACCGAGAAAGGGTGTTTGAAATAGCAGAATTCTGACGTTTTAAGATTGAGACAAACTGAAAGAGAATCAGAGTACAATAAAAACAATACATAGATTGGTAGTTATAAATATTCAGATCAAAGAATGCATATGTATATATAGCCTTAAGACAAACAATTGAGAGGAGACATAATAACATTTTATAAGTACACATTCTGAAAGCATGTCTCTCAGAATAATACCATGATCTGTTCTATATTTCCAACATAAAAGACACTGAATAATGGTTTTAAGCTACAATTGCAAATTCATGCTGAACATTCTCTAAACATCTTGTAGACAATAAGGATAGTTCCACAGTGGAATACTTAAGGAGTTACTTAAGGAGCAGACTACCAGTGGCCACGGACCACCAGTTGGTGCCCGCTGCTCTATACCATTTCAGAGAGATCGTCGTCCAATGCATTCTTAAAAAACCTCCAGTGCTGGAGCATCCACAACTTCTGGAGGAAAGTCATCCCATTGATTAATTGTTTTAATTGTTAGGAAATTTCTCTTTACTTCTAGGTTGATTCTCTCCTGGATTGATTTCCATCCATTGGTTCTTGTTCTGCCTTCAGGTGCTGTGGAGACTTCCTTGACTCCCTCTTCTTTGTGGAACACTTGGAAGAGTAGCAATGAATTGAAAAGTGACATTATCAGTAACATTATTTAATTAGATATTGTTTTTTTAATTAAAGGTAAAATTAGTTGCTAAGCAAAAGAGGTAATTTTATTATATTAAATAAAAACGCTTTAGTTTCAGGTACACTCCTATATTAATTAGAACGAATTTAGACATGCTTTTATTTAATACTGGTAAGTACAATACAAGAATTTAAAACTGCATATTTATTCATTTATTTCAGTTCTATCTGTGGATTTAGGATTATTTTTGCCTGACTTGTTCCTACCACTGACTGAAGCAACCCCACTGCCTCATTGCTCTTAGTGTCCATTTCAGAGGAGTGAGCAGATGTATTTGAGGTGCACACCATCGATCACTGAAACTAATGGGAAGAATAATTGGTTTCAGTTGGCTTTACACCAGACCCTTGGCTCTCCAGTACAGCATTGTGCTCTCTCATCTAAAACTTACTTCCAGAAAAGAAACATATTTCAATTTATGTATTAGTGTTTTATTAAAGGAGACAGGTGGATGAGTAACAACTGACAACCTGCTCCCCACAGAAAATAAAGTTTTAATGAATAGTTCTGTTACAGGGCATAGCAGGAGGATAAATTGTTCTAAGACACATTAAGAATCAAGAAGAGTATGTCAAAATTAGATGCTTGGGACGAGGGGGAGAAAGAATTAATCTTGAGAAAAATCAGAATATTAGTCATCACCCTGTTACCTTCACTGTATTATGGTTACACCATCAAATAACTCATCATGCTACAGCAATGGTCCTTAAGCTGGCACCCTCTAGTTCAAGGCTGTCAAACTTGCAGCCTGTAGGCCAGATGCCCACGTCCAGTTTAGCGAAGGGGGAAAAAGTCATGATATGTCATGTGATGCCATGATGATGCATGTTTGACACTCCTGCTCTAGATAAAACTTATCATATTTTTAGACAAATGGCCTTAACTGGAAACTGTATGTGTTGCAGTCTAACACACTTACAGGACACTATGTGGGGAAAACTATATTAAATTAATTCTTAAATTAATTATTAAAATCATTTAATAATTTGAAATGGTCACATAAAATAATTTTGAGGATTTAGGAATCCTTTGTCATTAACATTTTTTTTTAATCCTTGACCATTAATCTATCTGAAGGTCGATGCAACAAAGCAGATTGGCAATGTTGTGGGCCAGTGTCCCATTTAGATCATGTTGTGGACACTTACAGTAAATCATTTGTCCATTCATATAATGGCTGCCACATTGAGTATGAAAACACCTATTTTACTACTGGTGACAGAAGAGGAACATATTATTGTTTGCCCATCCAATACTCCTTACCAACCAGGAAAAGGTGTATCCCATGTCAGTTTTTCAACTGAAAACAAAATCAGGTGGAACAGGAGCCTGGATGGCTTATAAGGAAGGATATATTGGTGTCAATAAAAGTATCAGATTGAATACTTCTGATCTAAGTGCCATATTTCTGAATTCTAGTTTATGACTTATGTGCTATTTCTTTCAGACATTATATGCTATTAACAACTTTTCAAGCTATTTTTGCCAAACACTCAATATGCACTCAAATCCTAAGAGTTACATGCAGGTAGTTTGTACGACCCACAATTGAGCCCAACATTTCTGTTGCTAAGTGAAACATTTGTTAAATGAGTTTTGCCCCGTTTTATGATTTTTCTTGCCACAGTTGTTAAGTCATTCACTGTAGTTAAGTTAATAACACGGTTGTAAAGTGAATGTGATTTCCCCATTGATTTTCCTTGTCAAAAAGCCACAGAAGCTGATCACATGACCCCAAGGCACTGAGACCATTATGAATATACGTCAGTTGCCAAGCATCTGAAGTTTGATCACATGAGCATGGGGATGCTGCAATGATCATGTGAAAAATGATCATGTCACTTTTTTCAGTGCCGTTGTAACTTCAAATGGTCATTAAATGAACTGTTCTGAGTACTACTTATATACTATACATGTAGTACTCAATTGAGACATTTTTCATTCTGTTCAGCATTCTGTGCCTTCCGAGCATATTCATGGTTCTTCTGGACAATTCCCAAAAGCCTTTGGGGAATTTGTAACTTTGGGCTATTATACAGGTTGAACTATGACTTTTCCTCCTATATATAGTTCCACATACATAGTTCATTATTAATAGGCAATAATTTCCCACAGTTCCTAATGATGATATAACAACTGAGATGGAGAGAAATGAAATCCAGCTCATCTGATGCAAAATGAAGTCCAGCTCATCCTGCTTGTGTGGGGAGTTGGACTAGATGATCTCCAAAATATCTCCCAACTCTGTTATTCTTTATTCTATGTACTATGTCCATCTGGAATGGACCAGATTGGGGAAAGCTGATATAATGGAATTTCACAAAAACATTTTTCTAGTAAAAATGAAGAAAACACAATTAGGAATCTGTATTCACTCCTTATATGAAAGAATCTACACCTTTTTACAGCTAAGAAGAGGCAGAGGTTTAATAAGAAAGAACAAACTTTTCTGACAAGGTCCCAATGCTATGGAAGGTCTATCTATTCCCATTATTCCTTTGGTTTTATCGTGTGATTTATGGGAGGCAACTTTTTCCAAGGGAGTTGATTATTATTTGTGAAATTATACTATATTTATACTCTCATTTATTGATTCATTTTCTATATTTCTCTCCTTTTTTGTGATTGTGATATTTTATTGTAATCTTTATTTATTTGCTATATTTATTTGCTTAATTCTTCTTGTTGGCAATGAATAAAATAAAGCACATGGGAATATCTTTACCAGGATGTACTTATTTATTTTAATAGTACCATAACCACCAAACGTTTTTCAAATTATCCTCCTTTTCATGAGAACAAAGCTACAAAGAATTCATTTACCTCCTACTGAAAGTATTTGTTTTTCCTACTGGAAGTTACCTGGTCCAGCAGTTCTAAGCAATCACTGATAAGCACTAATTTTCATCCTAAGTTTTATTTTTGCTTTGTTAAGGTTTTCCTTTCATATTATCTTGTTTTTGTTCAATATACTATAATGTCCATTATACTATTCAGTTTTGGATCAATAAATCATATGCCAATATGTAGAAAGAAATGGAAAGAAGCATATAAGATTTTATAGCAAGTTATAGAACTTTAATTTAGAACAAACTGATCTTGCCAAGAGCTGTCTCCAAGATATGTTTACTGAAATGCAGTACCTATTTCCTGTTCTTAGAGCCTCTTCTCCAGAGATTCCTGTACTTGGACACAAACTTTGAAAATAACATTTTTATTCCTCTATTAGTGTTGCAATTTTAGAAACTAGTACTGACATTAAAAATTGTTGTGAATGCAGTCAGCTGAATAGACTATACCTTTCTCTCACCTAAGCCCCTTTGACAGTGCTGACAGTAGTATACTACTTCTCAGTGGCTCCTGGTTGGCGGCTATTATTTTCATTTCCCAAAGTGGTACCTGCATAACCTGTGGAACATCACTCTCCTAATGAATGACACTCTATAATGACATGTTATAATGCTATTCCTGGAATACTCTCTATTCATTTCTAGCACCTTTAAAAGCACAGGATACCTCTGACAAACATAAATCCTGAAAGTGCTACCACTGAACATTCCAATGTTCCAAATAAATGCTATTATGTTTATTAATTAAGTGATCATGAGTGGCATTCAGGCAAGTGCATAGAATTCCCAAGAGATTACAAATAGTTCTTGAATTATGGCCACAATTGAAACCAGAATTTTGGAGGCTAAGCAAGGAGGTTGTTGAGTAAATCAATTTTACCTCTTTTTTCCACAGTTGTTAAACAAATCACTACAGTTAAGTGAATCATGTGATTGTTAAGCGAGTTTGGTTTCCCCCATTGACTTTGCTGGCTGGAAGCCAGCTGGGAAGATTGCAAATAGCAATCACACTACTTCAGGATGCTGAACCATTATAAATAAATGCTGGTTGCCAAGCATTTGATAGTCATAAGTGTGAGGAATAGTTGTAGGTCACTTGTTCAAGTGTTGTAGTAACTTCAAATGGTCAGGAAACAGATAGTTATAAATTGATGACTACTTGTATGAGAAAAAAAAGTCACATTTTTCTGTAAAAAAACAGGCACATAGAGGATAAAAATGATGCTCCCATTAGTTCTCTAGTTATTCTTTAGGTAATAAATACCTTGAGATATTCATGAGCTTCATCTTAAAGACATCTAAAAGTCTGTTGAGATTCTCAATCATCCAGGTCATGGTTGTCCCAAAGGTGCTTTTTTCAGGAGGCAACTGGACTTTCTTGTTTTTTTTCTTTTGAAGACATTTCACTTCCCATCCAAGAAACTTCTTCAGCTCTGATAGGATAGTAGGGATCCTTCCCCTCAAGGGAAATCCTTCCATTCCCCACTATCCTGTGAGAGCTGAAGAAGCTTCTTGGATAAGAAGCAAAATGTCTTCAAAAGAAAAAAAACAAGAAAATCCAGTTGCCTTCTGAAAAAAGGACTTTTGGGACTTAAAGACAGCTGTTGGGGAACACACTTAATTTTTAATCCATACTTTTTAAAATACAGAATCAATGATTAAGTTTTCACAAAGTAACTCACCTTCTAACCAAAGCGATTCAGTGACAGTCGGTCAGCCCTGTCCTGGGTTACGATTTGAGCCACTGCCACTACTGCTGAAAAAGAGTCCTGGCATCTTTCCAGCGCAGGGCTTGCAATTTGACAAACAGTTTGAGAAACTGCATCACAGAAGAAGGTGGTATGTCTACCATGGAGGATGTAACCTTTGTAAGTCTGAATAAGGGAGGTTGATGGCGTGTCAATCATCTGCCAGGGATGCAACAGGTGAGGCATATTGATTATAATTTGATGTATAATAATAACATAATACAACACAGAGAGAGAGAGAGAGAGAGAGAGAGATACATGTGCACATATTATTCAGAAGCAACAGATAATTTGAAAAATTGAAACAAAATTATTTAGTCTAACCCTAACCCCAACCTTAAACTACTTTCCAAAATTCTTTTCTTTATGGTATTGTTAGCAAACTATGATTATGTGACAGAATCCCCAATCAAAGATTCTCTTAAGAAGAGAATTTTACAATGAATAATTCTCAGGAAATTTTTTCTGAAATATTTCAGAATAGTATTGAGTAAAACAATTGAATAAACCATGGACAAAGAAATGGACAGAGACAACAAACATTGCTTCTGACAATATTAAGTAACCTTAAAGTGACTGTCCAATCCAATCTACTTGGATGTGTGTGTGAAAGACATTTTGCTCAATATTTTCTAATTCTCGACTGTTGGAAGAAAAACAAGCAACCCAGATTATTCTTTTTATTTGAGAAACAGCAGTTTATTTGAGCGTTGGGGTTTTTCCCCTATATTCATGCTAGATTATTCAAGACATTTACTAAAGTGAAACTCTGTATAATATCCCAAACAAGCTTGCTCATCATTTAAGCAGTCTTAACCCATTTCAGATACTCACTCAAATGAAATATCACCATAAAGTAATGTAACCACTTCCTACAGATGTTCATATATGAAAATTAAATTAAAAACCTTTCTTAGATAACAGCAGAGAGATGGAGAAAATAGCAAGCACTGGATGTGTGCATCACTGCCCACATTAACTAGATCTTATAGAGATTATGATCTAAAGCATGGGGGGGGTCAAACTTGATTTCATTGAGGGCCACATCAGGGTTGTACTTGATCTCAGGAGGGCAGGGGAGTGTGGCCGGAGTGGATGTGGCTGTGGTGGGCATCTCCACAGTGGGCATGGCCAGTTTCCTGCCTCCCACCTTCTCATCCCTAACTCACTCACTCCTTCCCATCCCCTCTCCCCGCCTTCCTTCCCTGCCTCCCTCCATCTTACACCAGATTCAGCAACTGAATCTGGTGCAAGATGGAAACAAATGCTTGGAGACTTTAGCAATATTTATTTCAAGAATCCTTAACATGAGAAGATGAAAGATCAGTTGTCATCCTGTGCATATTTACATGAAAGTAAACCCAACTGAACTTTTAATATACATAATTACATAGGATTACATACCTTAGTCTGCCTTCAAAGCAGCAATTCATTCTTTATTCTATTCGTGATGTTCTGATCTGATTGCCTTCTTTGCTGAGAAGAAACTCCTCATAGTTTGGACCAAAGGAGCTAGGTTAGAAATCTGTTTGATAAATAAAACAAAATGAGCTGTTGAAGAAAGTGAAACAGTTTTTCCTTATTTCAGAAATATTGAGCTGTCTCTTTTGAAAATGCTATGTGAAATAGTAGTAAAGTACTGTTAGATTACCCAGCAGTAATTGAACAACCTGTTGTTGCAGGATGACAAAAAAGAAAAAAAAGTTAAAAATTAAAAGCTGTTTTACAGATGATCCTTGACTTATGACAATTGGGATCAGAATTTCCATTGCTAAGCAAGATGATTGTTAAATTAGTGGTGTCTGATCTTATGACTTTTGCCATGGTTGTTATAAGTGAATGACATAATCAAACAAACGTAGCTTTCCCACTGACTTTGCTAATCACAAGCCAACTGGGAAAGTCACAAATGAAGATCATATAGCCCTGGGATGCTGCAATCCTTGTAAATATATGCCATTTGCCAAGTGCCTGAATTTTGAACTTGTGACTGTGGAGAGGAGGGGTTTTCACGTGATCAAAATTTGAACTCTTGGCAATTGGCACTTAAAACAGTTGTGTGAGAATTTGGACCATTTAACTTTGAACAGTCCTCAATCAATGATTGTAAATCAAGGACTACCTGTATATTATTAGCCTTTCACCCACTGAACCGGATATGTTTCTCAATTTTATTGTTATATTCAGATCTTGGAGATAAAACCAACATTTATATTTAAAAAACACAGATAATAATACACATGGACTCTTTTTAAAAGGCATGCAATATTACTTCAAAAGGGAGCATTTTCAAGCCAATTTCCTGAATTAGGCATCCAGTAATTTCTATCCTTGGAACTTTTCCTAGGCAACTCAATTTAATAGTCATAAACAAAGAGTGAATAACCATAATAACCAGTTTTCATGTAACTGTCTGAGGTCTCACAATATGCCATAACACATGGTTAATCATGGTCTACTGAATAAACCATATGTGGCAATGGTTTATAGTAGATCAAAACTCATAATCTGTAAACCTTAGTGGCTAAGGTACCACAACAGAGTCCTTCCAAAAAGTAAATCTAATGCTTTGAAAATTCAAGATACTTTTGCAGTTAAAAAACAGAAGAGAGACAGATTGGCTATAACAGATGAATGACATCTTCAGTGACATGTGGTTGTAAAATTATAAACATGAAAAAGAATCCTGTTTGCTAAAATAATTAGAGAAATCTTGTTAAGAGTTACACAACTGAGTGAGCCAGCTGTATAGAGACTGTTACTAAGAGAAAAATCTCCAAATGAACACAAAATGAGCAAGAACAAAATATTCAGGGAAAGCATAAAGTGTAGGAAAGCAAACTTAAAACAGCACATATATTACCGAAGGCAACAAAATACACCATATGGAAGAAAAAAGCCATTCTCAACAAATTAGTGTTTAATAACAAGGAAATAGCAATCATAGCAAACAAAAAAACAAAAGCATTTGTTATGCATCAGGAAACCTATTTGGAAAATAATTGTCTCAGGTGTATTAAGGTATTTGTTGTAATATATATTTGTAATCCATGAGAAGGCTTACTCTGAAGTATGGGACATCAGATGGTCTTTTGCCCTGTGGAAAAATAGGAAGGCTGGAAGGAAGGCATTATTTTCATACCTAAAATATGATACATTAAAGACTCATCGTTTTCTTCTGGCTTGATTTTTTTTTTTGTAGGCAAAACCCTATTTCAGAGATGAACAATCTGCATTCCCAGGGCTGCAGGATTCCAACATAAATTCTACAGACACAGAAGCAACACTGATAATTGTTCTTGCCATAAATAAATGCTGAAACAGGCTGCAGTGAAGGGAATAGCTAGAACAATCCTGGACTCAAAACCATTTACTTCTCCAATAACCTTCTGGATGGTCTTTCTCATTTAAGTTGGCCTGGAACTCAGATTTTTTATCACCGAGTTCACACATATGTGATTTATTTAGGCTGATCATCCTCAACTGCGGTTTAACATAATGAACTAGATCATTTCCTCTCTCATTCATTTAAAATAGAAGGGAAGACAAAAAAAAAAACCTTGCTGGGGTCAATGAGCTAGAACATGCCATCTGGCCACTTTAAACTAGCAAAGCCCTGGATCTTTATAGCTGCTCCACTATTTCTGGAGTTGCAATCCTCCATGGACTTCCATAGATTCATTTTCACTTAACTAAATGGGGATAACTTAGTAGGTATGCATGGATCACATTGTATATATAAAAATTAGAATCTTCAAGTTATTTTTAGCACTTGCATTTTGAGAATAGGGAAAGGTGGTAGAAATCTGAGAGCAGACCACATACAGCACAAATTATCTGATACCAATTCTACTTTCTTGTTCTCAGTCTCGTCCCTGCTGCAAAGTCACCAGTCCTCAGTGGCCCTTGTCTCTAGCTGATGTTGTCAAATGACATGTTGTTTTGTAGCAAGACAAAGATCCATGATCTTATTATGGATGAGACAGACAGCCTGGCAAGTATTACTGAGACTTAAGTGCTTTGTAACAAGACAAAGATCCATGCTGTTATTATGGATAAGGCAGCCAACCTGGCAAGTATTACTAAGATTCATCCCTCTTTGATATATGCACACCTGGATTCTGTTCATCAGCTATAATTCCAGGAGAATGCATTGGCAATTGTCATCAGGGAAACTTTAGCAGGTTTCTCAAAACTAGATGTGAGATGATACGGTTAAAGTTGGGCTCTAAGTAGTTGATTTATGTATAAGCTGACCAATTCCATCATATAGCTAGTAGTGAAGTCTCCAAAACTGATAGTTCTGAGAGAGATAAAGTTGCCCTTATATTATGTAAAGTGTTGTGGGACTCTCTATATTTCCATCAAAGTAGTATTCTTTATTCTCAACATCAGGAATGGATCTGACCTAGATTATTGAAGGTCCAATAGATATATATGGAATTAGATCTGCTCTAGATCTGGTGTTTGTTTGTTTTTCATCTTAAGGAGTTTGAAATATGAACTAAAACAGAAGACATTACCATTATTTATTAGTCATGATAAAGTCACTCTTGGCTTGCTTTTGTCTTGTTGATACTATCTTTGTACTATTCCCACCCCCAACAGTTACATCCTATTTGATCAATCAGCTGTAGCACCTAATGAATTTGAATTGATTTCAGAGAGAGTCTGAGGTTTTTCTTGGGATCTGGTAAACATTTCACAGCAATCCCTGCTTGGAATGATTGCATAATCAGATCTCCCATATGCAGCCTCTCTTTTTCACTGATCCCATGCAGGATTCTGATTTTTCCATGGCACTTCAGAAGATGAAACAACAAAAATACACCATTGGAGAAATACAAACAACCAACTCAACCAAGCACAGGTTAGAGTCCATATCAAGGATTGCATTGTGGCAAAAAGAACACTTCTCATTCACTCTTATCACATACACAAAAAGGCAGCAGTCCTGTTTAAACCATTCCCAAGTTGGGGAGAGTTAGGTCACAAGAATATCTACAGGGTGCTATGAATAATAATCGAGGAATCTTTATTTTATTTATTTTTAAAGTTTTTAATAGCTTTGATGTTTTTATTATTAATTGTACACTTGCTCAGAATCACATTCAGTGAAATAAGCAGCCATATATATGTTAAGTAAATAAAATATGATGAATTAACTTATTTAGATTACCTTTGAATTAGAGCAGGCACAATTGAATCAGCTGGACCATGTGCTATTACTCAATGATTCATCCTCTAACTCCTGAAAAAAATGGACAGGCTCCTTATATAAGCCACTCAGTTGCTCATTGGATTTATGTATCTATAGGTGAACTGTGGAAAATGCATCTGGTGGTAAATTTATCCTTGAGCAGAGCTGAATCTGCCTTTCTCGGAGAAAGTGGTAGTGCATCCTCTGCTTGTGAAATCATTGCTGAACTTGACAATCCTGGGCAATGTTTATCTAGTTTTCAACCTTCTCCTTTAGGATACATTTATTGAGAGAATGATTAGACTACAGCTCCAGCAGAGCCCAGGAGAAACAAATCATCTGGGACCCTTTATGTACTGTTTCATGCCAGGATGCAGTGTTCAAAGAACCTTGTTCATACTTACTTATCGCTACCTCAGAATTACAGGTTTTTGTGTGTGTCGCGACCTTTTTTTGGGAAATGAGCCTTAAACATTTGAAAAATGGTACTGGTTACCCCATTGTACACAGATGGGAAAATTTTGGTATGTGAGCCTATCAACAAATAGTGCATGCAAGAAAAAAAATGAGGCTAATGGTGACTCATCTTGGGGTCATACTGGAGGCTCCAAATATCAGATAGAACCTTGTCACATTAAGTTACATCATAAAAATGAGAATGATAAAGTTTAATTTTTAAAAAAGCATTGAATTCAATTTAATATTAACTCAAATTTGTTTTTGTGACCATAGAATGCTTGTAAATTACTATTTGAAGGTTCAGCATTAAATGTAAGAATGTAAATGTATGTCTTAATACCAAGAATTACTATTTAACCCCAGTTTTTCATAATGGTTTCTTCAAAATGGTGCAGTAAGAGTCATTATTGACTTTAGGCATCCATTTGAGCATACTTTCTATGTCGTTTTGTTTAGGATAGTGTGTGTATTTGTAACTCTGTCTTAGGCATAGGCAATGTAACAGATGTGGCAGTTGATGTTGGCGAAGCAGGTTTCCCGCAAACGCTCCTTGTCTTGAACCTTACTGTTGAATGAGTCTGGATGAATTTTATTTGTGAAACTTTAGCATATGGCGCATGATTGGACTGAAACTGCTTTGAACACATGGAATAATTTTTAAAATGTGCGGGCTTCATCTGGATGATTTTTAAATAGCTGGCATTGCTTGGCTTTTTCAGCAAACTTAGGAAACCGGTGAAAATAATTCTGCTGGTAGCATAGCACTTTAATTATGCTATGCACATTATCCACTTCTTGAATGCAAGAGTGGCCTGGTACAGAAAACTTCATTTCAATCCT